GGGAAAATGAGGTCAAATGGGATAGGTTGGCACAATCACCTGAAACAAATGTTACACATTATATGTTGAGATTTAAAGATGTTCATATCATTTGATGTGGTAATTAAGCTTATAGGAATCTGCTGAAAGGAAATAGTTCAAAATGAGGCAAAAATTCTACTGAAATGTTTAGAAACAATTCAAGTGCTCCCTCTATTGGGAAATAATCTAGAACTAAAATCTGACATCTAGTGTTCACTTCAATAACTGCATAGTATTAACTGAACATCTCATAGTCCTATCATAAGCAATGTCTTGTAACAGTGCTTAAAACCTAAAGCATATTTTGCCTTGGAAACACATACATCTGTTGGTGGAAGGGAAAATTGCACATAAATTAGTAAGAGGAAAATTCAGACATTGACTATGTGTTTTGTAGTTTTTTAAGTCACTAGAGCAAGATTAAGAAGTGAGCAAAAGTTGTCTCAAGGAAAAAAGTTTCCTCAAGTGGTGAACAAAATTGGGACAGTCCTGAGAACATATATGACACTAGAATTGCTGAGGTGGAAGGGGGTAAGGAGAAAAGGAGACACTAGGAGTGACTATCTTCCTTCTTTTATTCCATCCTTCAGGGCCAAGATCAGAAAAAGCAAAGTATTATTAATGATTAGGTTTTATTGTTGGAGCTTAGATTGAGAACCCTGGGCTATGAGAAGCTTAGGAAATGTTAACTAAGCACACTGATGTAGAAAAACAATCTGTGTTTTATATCTCTACTATCTTCATTTTCCCCACTGAAATAAATAATTTTAATCCAACCATTTCAGGCCAGAAGGAAGAAATAATATTGGCATTCCATGTTTTGTTACTCCATCTGCTACCTTTTACTTTCATTGTCATTTTTTCCTTGCCCCTAGTATTTATTGAGGTTAGAAAAAGGGATACAAAATTTGAGGTGTATCAAAGATAGTTTAAGGAAATTTAATATATATTTATCTCACGTTCTTTCTGAAAATTCAAATCACTGAACAAAACTTAGTGACTAAAAAAATGCAAAATTAACAGAATCAAATCTTGTATTATTAAATGAGATTCTATTTTAGAGGCTGTATAAATGTTCCCCACAATTGCACTTCCCTATCTTGCTCCCAAAGTTTGAGCAGATTGAATTCTCAGTTATTCCCCTCTGTATCTTTTCAGCGAATCTTAGGCAGACTGAATACTCATTCTTGCTAAAATATGCAGACTTTTTTTTTCCAGATTTCAGGCCTGTTTTCTGTTAAGGAATATTCCTTATTGCAGTATAACACGCATACAGAAAAGTAGATATATCATAATTGTATAGCTTGATAATCATATGCTCTAGGCCCTGATGCATAGGGGGCAGGGAGAAGGTGGTTAGTCATGCAGATTTGCCTATGGAAAGACTGAGCCCAGCAGGGAAGGGCCTGGCTAAGTCAGGGCTGGAGGGAACATACTTGTGTTAAAAAGTGGAACACATCTGTGTAACAAAGTGTTACAAAGTGAACACACCTTTGTAACCCACTCAAGTCAAGAATCAGAATATTACTGGCAATCCAGAAGCCATTTCATATCCAATTTTACTTACTGTCCTTCTGAAGGGTAATTACTTCCTGACTTCTACAGATACAGATTCATTTTGCCTGGTTTTAAACTTTAAAGAAACAGGATTATGCAATATGTAGTTTCTGGTTTCTTTTTGGTACATATGTTTAAAATATTTGAGAGTGAAATATAGAATGAAGATGTTTCATTCCTAATGTATTCTTGACCTCTCAGCATAATTTGACACCATTGACCATCCCTCTCTTTTTAAATTTTTCTTCTTTCTCTTCCATGACAGTCAACTCCTGGCTTTCCTCCTATCTTCTGGCTGCTCCTTCTCCTATTCCAGAGCTTTTCTTTTCCCTTGCCTTAAATAGTTGATGCATTTAAGGTTCAGTCCTAGACAACCTCAGCTAAATTCATGGCTTCTGTTATCATCTATATACTTCTAAATCAATACCTCTATCCCAAATAACTTTTCTGAGATTTAGACTCAAATATCCAACTTCATCCCATCACTTGCATGTTTCAAAACTCAACATCCCAAAACTGAACAATTTTCTGTGCTACAAATTGCTCCAGATCTGGGATTGTTCCAGGGTTTCTGATCTCAGTGAAAACTACCACCAGCTGCGGCTTTCACAACACAGAAGCCCAGTAGTCATCCTTGACATTTCTCTCTCAGCGTACCCTGCAGCCACTAAATTATTAAGTTCTGACAACTTTTCCTTCTAAATAGTTCAAGTAACTGTTCACTTTTCACCATTATCATTGCTAGCATTCAGATCCAAGCTACCACCACCTTTTGCTTAGACTGTAGTCTCCCAACTAATTTCCAAACAGATAAATGCACTACTTAAGGCTTTCTATTGGTTTTTATATTACACTGAAGAATTTCCTTAAATCAACAAATAAACCCTATGTTAATGAAGCCTCTTCCTACTTCTTTTTGTTGAGACACAGTCTGGCTCTGTTGCCCAGGCTGGAGTGCAGTGACGCTATCTTGGCTCACTGCAATCTCTGCTTCCTGGATTCAAGTGATTCTCATGCCTCAGCCACCCAAGCAGCTGGGCTTACAGGCATGTGCCACCATGCCCAGATAATTTTTGTATTTTTAATAGAGATGGGTTTTTGCCATGTTGGCCGGGATGTTCTCTAACTCCTGGCCTCACGTGATCCATCTGCCTTGGCCTTCCAAAGTGCTGGAATTACAGGTGTGAGCCCCCACGCCTGGCCCCGTTTCTACTTCTTGAGTTTTTCTCTTCTCCTTGTCCTCTCCTTACTCCAGACATTTCTCTGCACATGCCTTAAAAGGGTCAGAAACAGTGTTCAAAGTTGAGCAATTATATCCAACATGGTTAGCTGGAAGATGAAAGTAAGAAAGTAGTATACGAGCAATTTGGTAGGAACAAAAATCTCTCAAATATGGGGTCTGTTTTGGAGGTGGAGGTGAAGGTAGAAAATTGAGAATGTAACGAGATAAAGGAATAATTATTTACAAAGTGTTCCAAGCTGCTTAAGAGACCAATTAGCATCATGACTAGTAGTATAGGCTTTGCAATCCAACAAACCCATGTTCTGATCATGATTTTGCCACTTAGAGCCTGCGTGCCTTTGGTGACTCGTAACACCTCTAAGCAAGAATTCCCACAATAAAGCAATACTTTATCCCTCACCAGGATTAAGCTATATACATCTCACATCTGGTACAATTATTAGCACATAGATAAATGTGAAATGTTAGGCAAATTATCATTAGGAAGAAAATAAGGCTATAATAATATTGCCATATATCAAGCAGGAGTAACTCATGCTTAATCGATGCTAAAGATAATTGGCATCCTTAGGGCATATTCTCCTAAGAGGTTTATGGCCTCTGGTTACTTGGTGCTTTCCTCTCTGGATCCAAGGATAGATAAGTTTCCAGGTAACTGTGGACTCAGGATGAACTAAGCATGTATTTACTCTTACTGAGTCCTATTTTTTAAATTAAAATGTGCTTTACTTCAGCCAATTTGTTTCCTTTTTCTCAGAATAAACGCCTAAAAGTTGGATTTTTCCCTATCTTTGTAGTCAGGATTTTGTGACCTCCTTGGGGATAAGAAACCAATATTTTCTATATAGCTAAGTCAACTTTATCAAGACAAGGCCAATCCAACTATTGTGTTAGTGCCTGCTTTTATTGTAAATGGAGAACACAGCTGGTGATGCTTATCTCTTTCTTTACTGCCCTTGAAAGGTATACATACACAAGCAATTGGAACTCAAATTAAGATGAAATAATGACAAGAATAAAAGAAAAAGAAAATTAATCTTTTAATTACTTAAGCATTTTAATTTTCATTATAAAAAAGGATACATGATTTAGTGAAAATAACAGATTGGAATTGAAATGGCAGCATTCTGGCTCTGCCTCCAGTACTGATTATAAAGAATATAATCTTGACAAAGTCATTTCTTTTCTCTGGTCCTCAAAATTTTCACATGTAATCAGAGGGTTAAAGTTTATTATCCTATCAAAATTCTATGAGTATATACATATACATATAGAAGATATGAATATAATGTATATATATGTGTATGAATATATGTTATATATTCATTTGCATACCCCCAAACACCCCTATATATGAATCTTAGTTTTATATGGGAAAGTAGATTATAAATAAGAGGGCTGAAATAGATTATAGGTAAGGTCTAGTCCTATGCTGACAGCATTTGTTTATAGCATCAAAATGCCCATATTGTCATTCATCCAAGGCAAATAAGCAGTGAGAAGCTGTTAGAAATGCAAATTTTGGGGCCCTACCTCATAGAAGGAGAGGCCTATTGATGTGTGTTGCAACCTGCCCTCTGGGTGATTCTGATAAACACTAAAATGTAAGAACCACTACATTTGAACATTCCCAGGGCAGTGAACTATAGGCTAGAGTCCTAGGCAGAAGTAAAGAGCAAGTAATTAAAGGGGAAAAAGGAGGTTACTCTACAGAGAACTTAGCGGTAGAGGTGTTAGGACAGAGGTTGCTGAGACAAAGCAGTGGGGACAGGGGAATATGAAGGTAGTAGGGAAGCGGTGCGCCTTTAAGACTACAGAGCAGAGGTCCAAGCAGCAATCATAAAGCAGTAGCCACATGGTCGTGTGTTGAATCATTTGTTCTCAGGCAGTAATTTCTCCTAGTATGCTAAAACTGCTGGCTTTAGAACCTATCCTTCGAAAGGAGGACAATCGTCCTCAGTCTTCAGCCACAGCTACTCTTCACCCCCACAGCTACTTACTGGAGAAACCTGAGATACGAAGAATTAAAGCTTCTCAAGTGGATCCTGTATGTATTCTGCAGGCCCTTTCCAACAACCCACGAGTCTCCTGATTCGCATTTTAACTCTCCCCTCGTTGGCAGCCAAGAGTATGTGTATGCTCAGGGAAAGTAAGAAAACCACTGCAGTTTTTCACTGGGCTAGAGGTGAGGCAGGCCAAAGAAAGTCGCAGGGGTGAGAATAAGCCTGTGGAAGCGACAAGGCAAGAACTCAGCGTGGAGACTCTTCAGTAGGCCTATAGATGC